GCTGTAGGAAAACATATATATAGAACAGTCAAATCAGTTTTGAAGAACTTACCAGTTGTTACAACCTCACAAACAGTGTCACATAAGCCCAAATGGGTATCAAGCCAGTTCCACAATGGAAAGACCCATTCTTTGTCTGAATCTTGTGATTCCTTGACTGTTACCATCTTGAGGTACATCCCTGCCCCATAGCCTTCCCCATCATGTCCTATGACCACTTTTTGTAGATGGCTCAGAGACACAGCTTCCACCAAAAATGAATCCACCTGAAAAACAGGAAAATACTCAATAAAACAGAATTTTGACCCAAATGTTCTTGAACGTCAGGGAGAATATAGGTCTGGATTCAGCCAAGAATTTAAAATTTGTGACTGCTTTTTTGTAATGTTTAACATAACATCTCCCCTCTGAATCTAAGAAAGCACACACTGATTATACCTATAATTGAATCCTATATTTATCAGTAATGATGCATTGTAACTTCATTTGATCTTTGCGCAATATGGATCATGGCATCAATCATTTCTTATTACATTAAAATGTAATATGAAACTGTCAGCCTTCTGACAGTCAGATAGTTATGACAAGAGTTTGGTTCTAATCAAATTTCTATCTTTTGGGGTACTTCTAGTTTCTAAAACTTATCATACAAACATAGATATATATTAACAGTACTAAAGAAAAGTCAGAAATCTAAAAAGAGTGTGTTCACTTCAAGATAGATGCTAAATTCTTCTCCAGTAGTCAGAAAGGACTGTCTTTTTGTTTTCCTTGCAGAATAAAGAAACTAGTGAGGAAGAGAGAGGAGGAAGTTGAGATGAAAGTGGACAGTAAAACACAAGAGATGGGAAGGGAAGCAGTATGGAGAAGGCAGAGGAAGACAAAAGAGAAGTAAACTCAAGCAGCAGTGGATGAGAAGAGGGACCACAAAAGCAAGATAAGGAGAAATGTGAAATTCAAAGAAACAAATTACATGCCCCACTAAATTTTTGTTTTGTAAGAAAGCCAGGTGTTCTGTATAAGGCCCAGCCTAGGGTCAGAGGGACCTGATGGTAGCTGGCCAAGGTTAGAAAGTTATGAACAACTGGAGTTAAACAGCAATGTCTAGGATTATAATTAACACCATAATTACAATAAAACATTATTTAAATAGTAGGAACTTACTAAACTGGATGTCAGAGCAACTAAAAAGAATATATTAGCAAACTGATCTCTAAAAAATACAGTAGTTGCCAGAATCTTATCCTATTTTTAAAATAATAATATTGAAGTAGATTTTCTGCTACTAACATTGAAATTACTTTCATATGACAAAAAAAATTTTTTTCCTAATAACAGTCAGAACCCAACAGCAGATTGTGAGCAGAAATCATTAACTTTGATAATTAAGGTATTTTAGGACATAAATCTGTGCATGAACATAAATTAAAATAATTACAACAGAGTGCTATCTTCTCTACAGAGACATAGTTTTGAAAAATACACAGGAATGAAATTCAGAAATTATTTTGGTCCATCAGTGATTCCACTTTTACACTAACAAGTGCTGTATTAATTGTCTAATAAAATAATTTCACAGAAATTTAAACCTCTCCTTGACAACGTACATTTTAGCAGTTCTTTCAAACTTCAATGTTCAGTGAATGAACCTCTAATAAGAAATTCTAATTCACAAGAGAAGAATTCTCTTGCTTTTGGTCATCTAGAAACACTGTTTTTATGTGCTTTCTCTTCTCTAAATGGATTTTTTTTCTTGTCTAAACTTAGTGACTAGACACTGAGTTGGCATTTCATGTGGGATTGTGGTTTCAGAAACATCATTGCCTTCAACAGTCTCACAGAAACCCCCCTGGTGGTGCAGTGGCTAAACCGCAGCGTTGTCAACGCTGAGATCTGGGTTCGATTCCCGGTTAGGACACTCCCCGGGCAGATGGAGCTCGTTAGCCCTGTAAGGCAATCCATCTACGTCCTGAGGACCTCACTGCCACCGTCCAAGCGTGCTTGGCCCCGGCAGATGAACCTCAGGATTAAAGGGTGGGCTCAGTTCCGCGCACACTGTGT